TTCACAGTTTTTCCTGTCTAAAGTAATGAAAACATCTGTTGCCTTTGTTCACAGTGTATTCCTAATATGTAGTTTATTTTTTAATGAAGAATTTGGAGTCACTAACAGCTTACTTCAGTAAGTCCTCTGTTCTGTTGTCATCTCTTGATGGGTCTTAAAGGAGTCACAGTAGTTCACACAAAGATTGCATAAAGATGGAATGATATTTTGAAATTATCACAGAACCAATAATGCCCTTCTTGCCAAAGCGTGTAGTGCATTTTCCTGCAATGAATCTCTGCCATCTGTGATGTAGATTTGCATACTGTGTATTTAGTCTTTGGGGAGCAGATTTTGTGACTAGAAACCTAGCAGGGTCATATCAGCTATTTAAAGCATTAATAGTTGGTGATCAGCTCCCTGTTAAAGCCATATGGCTTTCTTTGTCATGGTGGGTTTTTTGGGATTGGTGTGGTTTGGTTTGGTTTTGGGTGGTACCAGGGTTTGAACTCAGGACTTCGCACTTGCTAGGCAGTCACTGTACCATTTGAGCCACACCTCTAGCCCAAAGATACATGTTTTTAATCAACTTTAGAAATGTAGATACAGTTTATTTTTTATTATGTATGTAAATGCTTATCACTGAAGTGCATGATGAAATGAAATACAGATAAATCTTCCATTTGGTTGGCAGCACAGTAGAGGAAAAGATAGGAGAAATGGTGGGTGGGAGGAGAAAGGAGAAAGGAGAGACTAAAATAGTAGGCTGCTGTGCCTTGTGATTCTACGTACATTTGCCCTGGTGGTTGGGGAGAGGGGGAATAGGGAAGCTGATCTGTGGATTTTTGGCTTTTTGGCCACCACAGTTTTATCTTGACCCACAAGTGCAAACCATATCCTAATGCTTTGACCTCTTGGTCACATTTATGCCTTGCCAATCCTTCCATAGAAGCTGCGATGTTTTATCCCTTTTTTTCTTTGTATTCAGACTTGCTGTAAATTCTCTCCCACACATCTCTTTGATGAAGAATTGTTGGACCTGAGCCAGTTTATTTGGATTGTGTACTGCAACATGACACATAACTCTGTAAAAAGAAACACCCCAAATTATATGTAACATGAAGGTCTACTTGGTTCTAGAATCCTTATCTAAAGTACAAGTGGTTACACAAAAACTAAATTGGAAAGACACTCAATGTTTATAATACATAAGTAGGAATAGAACTCGTTTCTCTTGCTTTTGGCACAGAATCAGAATTGCTATTCAATTCAGATGATCAAATTTCCATATTCAAAGGCCCTAACATCTTTCTCCTTTTTTTTTAATGGTGGTGGTACTGGGGTTTGAACTCTGCTTCATGCTTGCAAAGCAGGCGCTATACCACTTAAGCCACACCTCCAATCCAAAAACCTAATATCCTGATGTAGACTGGGTCAGTGACCCTTCTCAGTGTTCCCAAAATACCCTGTACATATATCTTTACTACTACACTTATACTTACCTACTTATATGGCTTTGTCTCCACCCTAATCTTAAAGTGTGAATTCTGTGAGGAGGAAGACTGTATAACTTGACCTGACACACTGTAGGTGCTAGAATATTTGAACTAATGTATCAATAGAAAAAAGGAAATGAAATTTAAAATTTTCAATCATGGTAGAACCTTTAAAATCTCCCTCTTGGGGCTGGAAATGTAGTTGAGTGGTAGAACACTGGCCTAGCATGTGTAGAGCCCTAAGTTCGATCCCCAACATATAAGAAAACAAAATAAATCTCCCCCTCAGTTGGTTTTGTCTCCAACATTATTCTAGCACAGACTTTAGTAATAAATGTCATTCAGATTTAGGTAGTAAAGTGTAGTTGATTTTGTTTCTCAAACTGGGTTACCACCTGAGTTCTAAAAGTAAAAACTAGAATTCACATAGCTGATTCCTATGGACCTTCTTAGAACTCTCCCCTCACCACCCAATCCTCTTAACTGCCTTTTCACCTCAAGCATCCTGTGTTTACATAGTGTGTTTACATAGTATGCTCCAAGTCGCTAATGTACAGGGAGGCACTGTAACAGGAGCTTGTGGTTTTAAGAGGGAGGGAGGCATTTAAATGAATGAGGAGAATACAGTGGTACTGGGAGTGTAGCTTAGTAGCAGAGTGCTTGCCTAGCATGTGTGGAGCCCTGAGTTCAATGACAGAGAGAGAGGAAGAGGGAGGACAAGTGAGCTGTTTTATAAAATTGAAACGAGTATAATATAATATAATAAGGGCCATCATTAAAATACGTGCAGTGTGAAATGTAAACCCAAAGTGTGAGGATGTTAGGGAAAGATTCAGTGACATTGAGCCTAATCTTAAAGAATAAGAGGTTCAGATTTGAGGCAAGGGGATAAACACTATGGAAAAAGGGAGATACATGGGAGAGAGAAAAGAAAAATATATATATATATATATGCAGATACAAAAATGGGTAAGACAGAAGAGAAGACCAGAGGGAAAAGGCAGACCTGGGTGGTTGCCTGTGGGTGAATTTGGGACTTAACTTGTAGGCCTGTGGGCAGTCATTAAAACTTTGTAGAAGAATGACCTGATCTCAGCTCTTTACCCATGTCTTTTCTCTTTTGGTATTTTCTGACTTTTTTTTTTTTTTCCCTAGCATCACTACTACTTTCTCTACCAATGCTTTTTGTCCCTACTCTCTTGCCATGCTAATTCATTTGATTAGAATAAAATGGTCTTCATTTGTGGTTTGAAACATACTAAAACTCCAAAAGTTTGAGATCATCACCTCTCATATCTGTACCATGGTTAGACATTCTGACCCTAGTCCTGTTTTTTTGTTACTTGACCGTTCTACAGACAGATTATCCATTCTCATTGTAAGGAAGAAAGAGTGACATGTTTATACCCTGTATTATACTAGATTACCAAAATGAAAGACTACTAAGAAAGCAAATGAATTTTTATATGGAAGACTTTGCTAACATTTTGCTTAACCCTTCATAGGCTGTCCATTTTCTGTGTCTAGATTATAACAGGCACATGATTTGAAGTCAAGAGAGCTGCTTTCTCTAAGGCTACCAAAATCCTCCTGGTGTTTGTTCTTTTCATTTTTGACCCATTGCAATCCATCCACAATTGTATAATTGTTGTGCAACAGGATCTTAGCCAATCTCAATAAACCATTCTTTGGAATTTTACAAAGATGTCATTTTTGGCACCTAAACTAAGAATCATTTGTGCCTAACACATCATTTTCCATTTATGAAACCAGTTTAATTAGAAAGTACTTTATGAACAGTGTCCCCCTTTTTAATTTGAAATAGCAGATGGCAGATGTACATATTACCTGGAGGTCTCATGCCTTTATCCTTACTCATTCACAGGACCCTTTAGTGAAGCTAGCTGGGTAAGGTGTTGGGAGGCAGGCAAGTTGCCTGGGGGGAACCCAGGACTCATTTAGTTCCTTGCTGCCACCTGCTGGGGCCTGGCTGCTCACATAAGAAAGTTGCTCAGAGCCTTCTAAGCAACCTGTGTATAGTTCCAGTGGTAATCAGCTACCGTATATCTAGATGATAGCCTACCGCTAGCTGAAAGGACTTTATCAGTTATGCAGCATTATACCAATCCGTTAAGAAGGCATTAGATTGTGTTGATAACATGTAATGTCCAGCAATGCAGAGGCTCAGAGAACTAAGCAACGTGTCAAAGACTCAAAAATCCTGGAGTGTCAGAGCTGGAAGAAACCTTAAAGCAGATGTGGTAGGACTTTGGGGTAGTTAAATGAGTCACTTAGAGACTTGTTAAAATGCTGACTCCTGGGCCCAGCGTGGGGTTTTCTTAAGCTTCCCACACAGTTCCGAGGCAGGAAGTTTTGCGTACTCGAAAGCAGAGTACTACCTTGATATATTAGCAAGAGCATTTTTCCAACCAGTGCCTCAGTTAACTAAAAATTGTATCTTCCGCCAATTCAGTCACCCATTTTAATACTGTAACTGGTTCTTTGATGCACAAAAATTATTGTTGAATTAATTTGTTCTAAAGCAGAAAACATCACTTGAAAATAATTAGCAGGGGCTGGGGGCTGGCTCAAGTAGTAGAGTACCTCCTAGAAAGCATAAAGTCCTGAGTTCAAAACCCAGTGCTGCCAGAAATATATGTATAATTAGTTTTTCTTTCTCCTTCAAGAAGGAAGTATTACAATTTGTATTGGTCAATTTATAGCAGAATGCTTTAGGCCTTGGCCACTCGCAAGCAAAGGCAGGGTTTAGTATTACATTTAGCATCGCCATCATTTCCATGAATCTAGTAACATTTGGCCAGTATCTGTTGAATGTCAGGGACCTAAAATGCCATGAGTTCTTATTCTTTCCTATGGAGGGCTGCAACCTGTGGTTGGAACATGTCTCTTTATCACTTCTTCCTCTCTCAGTCTTGGCAAGTTTGGCTAAGATACAAACAATAGTAAGCACAAGTAATGTTTCCTCATTCCACAGGGAGAAACAAGTGGCCTGATATACAAGTTGGAGGGTCCACCTTCAAACTGAGAATTCTGGAGATCTGTCACGTGATTTGAATATTTTCTTCCCACCCCAAAAATATTTATCATTTGTGTATGCTACTACTCCTGAAAACACAGGTTCTGCTCTGGCTAGGAACTGAATTCTTGAAACCACTGAATTTGAGGGCAGGTTATACTGAATATATGGGATCATGTTTTAAACACTAAGCTCCAGTAATTTCCAGTGTATTTTCCCCTCAACTATTTTTTTTTAACTTTCAAGTTTATTGACGTTCAGGACTTCAGCTCCTTTGATCTGAGTGATCATATATTTAATGAGGTTATGTATTATGCATGTAGAATCAAAAGGCAGTTTATTGAGCCACTTTACAGAGAACTGTTGTTGAGCTGTTAGGACTATAATTCTTACTACTCGTTAATGTATTTTGGCATATTTTATTTTAAATTTTGTTTCCTGCTTTCATAATCTCATCTGTTAAGGCTTTTAATTTTTTTGTCTTTTAGGGATACCTGAAAGAAATCTTGAAAGAAATTGGCGTTCAGAACGTAAAAGGGATCCACAAGAACACATGGGAGCTGAAGCCAGAGTACAGACATTATCAAGGAGAAGAAAGAGTGACTGAGAGGACTTTTACCAGCATGCTGATGCAGCAACTAAAGGGTGACACCAAACAGGTGGCTTTGATACCACAAAGCTTGAACACCTGTGTAAATAGAAATAAAATGACTGGTACTTTCATTTCTCTCAGTAATTTTCTTAACTCATAATTCTGTAAAATTTCTTGAAACATAAGGGCAAATGTATTTACAGACTTAACTTGCATTAAACCAGATTATTCAGTCAAGTGTGGTAGTACATGCCTGTAATCCCAGCACTCAGGAAACTGAAACAGGAGGATCTTTAGCTTAAGGCCATCCTGGGCTATATATCAATTCTAGGTCAGCCTGGCTACATAATGAGACCCTGACTCAAAAAACCAAAACCAAACAAAATAAAACAGAACTCCTGATGAGGACCAGCGTTTGAGAATTAAGGTTTTGGTTTTGTTTGTTTGTTTTTGGGTACTAGGGTTTAAACTTAGGTCCTACACCTTGAGCCACTCCCCCTCCCCTTTTTGTGTGCGTGTGTTTGTGTGATGCGTTTTTACTACTTGCCCAAGCTGCCTTCGAACTATGGTCCTCCTAATCTCTGCCTCCTGAGTAGCTAGGATTACAGGTGTGAGCTAGCAGCACCTGGTGATTAAGGTGACTAGAGTTTGAACTCAGGGCCTCACACTTGCTAGGCAGGCGCTTTACTACTTGAGCCATTCCGCCAGCCCTAAAGGGCTTTTTTAAGTGTTAACTTTTTAAATGTAAGATTAGAAAATTTTTCCTAAATGAAAATTCTGTCCTTACTATAGCTCTGAGGAACTGAATTAGTACAGATCCAAGAGAACGGTATTAAAAAGAATAAAAACCAAAGTTCCTTTGTCTGAATTATTGAATGGTAAAGCTGCCTTTAAAAAAAAACCAAACCCGCCCCCCACACACACACACCCAAAACAAAAAAGGTGATCGGTTTCACATTCAGACATACTTTAATAAAGGAGAAATTTTGTAGTGAAGTGGCAATTTTCATTATTAACTTATTTTGCCCTAGTGGTATTGATTAAAGAAATGAATAAAATCAAGGTCTTTTGTTTGTTTTAAAAATAATTAAAATTTGAGTATCTTTTTAGAATTTCAATATCTATCTCCCCCAACCAGGTTGTAAATTTATCAGAGACTGGCTTTGCCCCAGAATCTTACTGCCGATCAGCAGACAGGTGTGGACCCTCACATGGCAAGTGACAACTTAAGGAGGGTTGTAGGATAAGCTGAGACAGGAATGGTGAATGTCATGCAAGTGTTTCTTTTATCTTCCTCTTTGATTGTGAAAGGAAACAGTACATGTACTTGATGAAAGTTTTTTCTGGCACAAAATGTTACACATTAGGCCATACAAAAATCATACCCACAAACACCACCAAAACAAAATAAGCTTTAAGTTACCAAACTAAGCACAGTGAAGAGTTGTTTAAAAACTTATTCAGAGGGCTGGGCTGTAGCTCAGTGGTACAGTGCTTGCCTAGCATGCACGGGACCCTGGGTTCAATCCCAGCACCAAAAAAGAAAAAACAAAAACTTGTTCAGAGGCTGAGGCAGCGGTAGAGCACTTGCCTAGCATGGGTGACACCCTGGGTTCCATCCTCAGCCAGTGCAGGGAGGGATTCATTTTGTCGTCTGCTTCTGGGTGGTTGCAACAAAGAAATAGCAAATGCCAAAATGTTATGTAATTGAAGCAAGAAAATAACTGTCCACTGAGAGAATAATTTCCCATGTTATTTGCTTTAGTAGCGGTTCACCAGCATTCTGAGATTTATCTTTGCACCCCCACTGTAAAAACAGCTGTAATTAAGGAGTGTGGTCCATTCCCCAACCCACCTCCACTATCTTCTCCTGCCTTGTTCTGGTGCAGGAACCAGATAGAGTATGCCCATGACAGAGGCCTGGTATCCATAAGCCCATGGATAATGGCAGAACTCTGTGTTCACCTGAGAATTCTGGATACCTGCCGTGTGCTTGGTGCTTGGTATATTATATTGTATGTGTCTTTCTTGCTGTATGGTACTTCCCTGAAATACAAGCATGTCCCCTCTACCATGTTTTGCTTTTGTGGTGATAGTACCCGCCATATTGAACTTGGTAACTGTGCCAGTAAAGCTCTTCTGGCAGAATTGTGCCTTATTTGAAGCTGGGCTTTGATGTTTGTTTAAAAAAAAAAGTCCCACCTGATTTCATATATTTGTGTGTCTTAAAATATTTGGGGCTGACAGAGTGGCTCAAGTGGTAAGAGTGTCTGCTTAGCAAGCATGAGGCCCTGAGTTCAAACCCCAGTGCCACCAAAAAAAAAAAGTAAATGAACATTTTTTAAGTTGCTTTCTTATTTAATATTAAAACATGGCATTAATGTTACCTGGGTTCCCTTATTATTTTGTTCCAGGCCTTTCTTGCTATGATAAACTTGCTTTTGACAGCCAGAGATCAAGAAGTAGAAATCCTAAACCCATAAAAAGTGCCTTGTGATTGAGAGCGGAAGGCTGGAAGGGAGCTTCCAATGGAAGGGAGATGCACATGTTTGGGAAGATGTCACATCAGAAGAGGACACAGGAAGGCCATATTTCATAGATAAGATTGTTAAACTCCATTTGTACACACACTTGGGGATATTTGAACTGACAAAATGTAGTAAGAGTTGCTGGGCGCTGGAAAGATTTGAAACTACATGTTGCCACAGTAAATTCTAAAATGATATGTTTTAAAAAAAAAAGAGGACAGACTTGGCTGGCTGTATTGTATCATGAGCATCTCTTAAGGTTTTCAGCCGAGTCACAGTGTTTTTTAATGTCTGTGAACAAATGTCTTTGGGAGCTTATTTTTTATTGTTGGTACATATCACTGAAATAATAGCAAACACTTAGCAGGTCCTTTGTGTTTAAAACTGTGTTAAATAATCCAAATATTATTATATCTAATCCTCACAAATCATACAGGGAAGTTGGTAATGTCTAGTTTATGGAATCATTTTCTGCTTAACATCCTGAGTACTGGTCCCCAACCACTCTGGAAAAAAATTTGGAGGCTACTTAAAAAGATGGACATCGATCTACCATTTGATCCAGCAATACCACTTGGGGATATACCCAAAAGACTGTTACTCCAGAGGCACCTGCACATCCATGTTTATTGCGGCACTATTCACAATAGCCAAGTTATGGAAACAGCCAAGATGCCCAGCACTGACGAATGGATTAAGAAAATGTGGTATCTATACACAATGGAATTTTATGCAGCCATGAAGAAGAACGAAATGTTATCATTCGCTGGTAAATGGATGGAATTGGAGAACATCATTCTGAGTGAGGTTAGCCTGGCTCAAAAGACCAAAAATCGTATGTTCTCCCTCATATGTGGACATTAGATCAAGGGCAAACACAACAAGGGGATTGGACTATGAGCACATGATAAAAGCGAGAGCACACAAGGGAGGGGTGAGGATAGGTAAGACACCTAAAAACTAGCTAGCATTTGTTGCCCTTAACGCAGAGAAACTAAAGCAGATACCTTAAAGCAACTGAGGCCAATAGGAAAAGGGGACCAGGAACTAGAGAAAAGGTTAGATCAAAAAGAATTAACCTAGAAGGTAACACCCACACACAGGAAATCAATGTGAGTCAATGCCCTGTATAGCTATCCTTATCTCAACCAGCAAAACCCCTTGTTCCTTCCTATTATTGCTTATACTCTCTCTCAACAAATTAGGATAAGGGCAATGTTTCTGCTGGGTATTGAGGGGGGGAGCGGGAGGGGGTGGAGTGGGTGGTAAGGGAGGGGTGGGGGGGGGGGGAAATGAACCAAGCCTTGTATGCACATATGAATAATAAAAGAAATGAAAAAAAAAATTCCTATGAAAAAAAAAAAAATAAAATAAAATAAAATACTTTTGAAAGCTCTACTCTAAATACATCAGTTAAGATCCCAGCCTTGTTGAGTATATGTCCAGACAGACAACATACATTAAACAATAAATATACAGTATGTTAGGAAGTGCTATGTGTAAGAACATAGAAATAGGCAGAGGGAATTAGGGTGTAAATGGAGGACAGCAATGTACACTTATTTATTTTTCATTTTTTTGGCAGTACCATGGGGTTGAACTCAGAGCCTCAAGCTTGCTAGGCAGCTGCTCCACCACTTGAGCCACTTCACCAGCCCTTTTTGTGTTGGTTATTTTTGAGATGGGGTCTCACTTCATGCCTGGGAAGTCTTGGACTGCCATCTTCCTGCTTATGCTTCCTGCAATAACTGGGATGACAGGCATGCCCCACCATGTCCAGCTTTTTCTGTTGAGATGGGTTCTTGAGAATTTTTTGTCCAGGCTGGCCTTGAATGGCAACTCTCCCAAGCTCAGCCTCCCAAGTAGCTAGGATTACAGGCTTGAGCCACTGTAACTGACTTATTTATTTTTATTTTATTTATTTATTTTGGTTTATTTATTCACATATTCAAATATGCATACATTGATTGAGTCATTTCTACCCCCTGCCCCTGCCCCCCTCTCTCTCCCCCACCCCCTCACTTCCAGGCAGAACCTGTTCTGCCCTCTTCTCCGGTTTTGTTGGGGAGAAGACATGGGCAATGATAGGAAAGACAAGGCATTTTGGCTGGTTGAGATAAGGATAGCTATACAGAGAGTTTCCTAGTGTTGCTTCCATGCACATGTGTGTTACTGACTTATTTATTTTTAAGAAAGGGTCCCACATTGGGGAATGAAAGATAAAGGAGAATGATGGGGGGCGGTGAATTCAACCATGAATTCAACTTTTGTAAATGTCACAGTGTACCACCAGTATAATAAAAAATGAAAAATTTAAAAAAAAAAAAAAAAAAACATCCTGAGTACTGGTCCCTCTTTGGAGGAAGTCTACCCATAGGACAAAAATCAGAGTGTGTTTTCCCAGAATTCTCTCCCCACCCCCTTATCCCACCTCCAAACCAAGAAAATGGAGTTGACTTCATGCAGAGTTGCAGAATACAGGGAGTTTGTCTTTGGCAGCCAAACTTGAATCCAAACACCCAAAC